CCCGAGCGAAGGGTATCTAGCCGGCCACCCGGGCGCGCGTTAGCATACAATAATGAGCCGTTCACCAGTTGTGCAAGTTAGAGGGACGCCCCCCCCCCCCCCCCAGCTTTAATTTTGGGGAGAGGTGAGCTGCCCTCGCTGCCCCTTGTCCCCGGTTCCCGCATCCTTGCATTTGAGGTGTTTGACGCTAGGCATTCGAGGGCGCGGCCCTGCGGGCTGCGTCCTCATCCTCCGACCAGCATTACGGGACCTGGGTCTTCAAATTGAGCCTTTAAACGTTGGTCTCAACGGACCCTTTGGGCCCATCGGAACGTAAGGGGAGACGCTCTTCCTGTGCCCCCCCCCACCCCCCCCCCCCCCACCCCCCTCAGTCTGTGGCACTAACCACAAGCTCCAGCTGCCAGGGATTCCCTTGGCCGGGATTCAAGCGTCGATGTGCGCCCGGGCACCAGGAAAGCTTTTATAGGTGTCGCTAGTTACGCCTAAACTTTGTATAGATGACGCTAACACCGTGGGGTGCTCGTCTGAGCAGCCTGGCTGTTTTGCGAGCTGTTGCTTTGGGCTGCGTCACATGGCCGAAGGAGATGGAAGGATAACTTCTCAAGTTGGCTTAGAGTTATTACCGTGTCTTTGGACGTCGCGGCCAAATAAATGCCCTGAAACACTAAAACATTGAATGCCTCGTTATTCATTGATGTAATAGTGTAGTATGATACGCAGTCTACAGGGAATAGACTCCTTTTAATTTAGTTGGGAGTCATAGTTGCTCGGGTCTTTTTAGCTCTGCGATGACCTTCAGATGTAACCAATAACTTGAAAGCTTTTAAAGGCTAAATCCACAACTGCTTGAATCAAATCCTGAAACAACGACAATGTCGTACATGTTTCGTGCTATTTCATCTTTCGAAATGTATCATTTCTTCTACAACGCATAGATTCTCTGAACGTTCTACAGCCGTTGTTCGTCTCCATTCTCAGCAAGTGAGCCGTGTGACCACTCCGGGAGCATCGGACTCTTAGTCTCGAGAAGAGAGGGCCTTATCGGCGCCATGGCTCTTAACCCTTTCGTCTCCTCCCCGGACTCCGGGAGCACCGGACTCTTAGTCTCGAGAGGGGGACTCATCAGCGCCATGGCTCTTATCCCTTTCGTCTCGCCTCCGGCTTCTTTAGGACGTTCTAGGGAGACCTACCGTTTTATATCTCCTGATTGCGTCGCGTCCGAGTGAGTTTTCAGAAAACCCAGTGATATTGTCACATAAGTTGTGTGCCAGCTGGACCCACCTTTACATAAGTCGTGCACGTCAGATGGGCTTACTTTTACATCTTAGTCACGAGCTCGCGGGGTGTCTCAGGAGCTTCTCAAGACTATAGCTGATCATCTTACTGCCCATACTTGGGCCGATATTTTAGCTATTTTGTGGCTCACAATATTTTGGACGGCATTCTTTACAGTTGCGGCGGGTGCACCTTTGACATCTGCTCATCTGTGCGCGTCGGTTTCTTGAGCATGCATCCAACAACTTTCAGAGGCATTTTGTCGTGTATGCATGCCTCACTCTCAGGTGTATGATGTAGAGCTGTCAATGCACCAATGTTTGCTTAAATTTTTTAGGTTGGGCCTAAAATAAAATGATGGGTTAAGGTCGCTAAGCCTACATTGTGTTATGACTTTGCGAGTACCATTACATTTTTCCCCATTGTCTCTGACTCATCATCATGAAAATGTTGTGTTCCGCTGTCAGATAAAGTTACTCTCTTAGTCAGCTCAACTGTAATTATGCTTAAATACTTTGGAGCAAGTGTCCACCAGGGATGAAAGATCATTGTGGTCACAGTTCAGCTCATTTCAATGCATTTGCGTATATTTCCACATGTAGTGTAGTATCTGGTGCTAGTCCAATTACGTAATGCAAAATGAAATAAACAACTAGTAGAAACGCGTCACCAGCGATATTGTAAACCAAGGCCCAAGGCCAGAGAAACAGCACATGGCTAATCTTAAGATCAAATGACTGCGGGCATTTGGACCAGTCGAATTCCGGGCAACATGAAAGTAAAATCTGTACATTTCGCCGACTTCGCTGTCATGTCGACAGTTACACACAGTCTCCATTTTTCTTTTTTGTCGTTGGCATTTTGTAAGAACCAAGTGATCTTTATTAGGACCAAGTTTAGACCACGAACTACAAGGATGCGGTCGGCTACAATAAGGAGGTGTTTAACATTTACGCACTGGTTCCTTGTTCAACAAGGCTGTCAAATAAAACACTGGCTACGAAAATGTGCATCCGTCCGTATGTCCATACGTGTTTCGTCTTTTGATTGCTGACCCGTGTGCAGGTTAAACAAAGGGCAGCACGACCCTGAAACTTTCTTAACATGTATGTACCAGCATGAGGAGTGCACATGCGTACTGAGGACTCGGCACGAGGATTGATGTGCTGGTGAGAAGGTCCGTTTTCAAGCCCAACTGGTAGCCATTAATCGTGTATGTGGTGAACCAAGTTGAGTGGCAGTCAAGCCGTCAAAAAGATGTACACTTCGTCGCTCATTTTCGGAAGCAACGACGAACCTTTGGATTTTTATTAGTGGGAGGACGCTGAATTGCGTGAATAGCGCCAGTGTGCGAAACGTAAGAATCGCAGGTCGATGACTAGCGTGTAAATTATATGTGTAGATAATTTTTCAACGACACTCGACGTTAAGCGGAAATCTCGCAACAGCGAATGTTCGACAAATTGTCAAATGTGAATCCGGCTGGAACTGTGCGGTATCGAAACATCGCGGCAGTGATGAGATAGCCGAAAATGTAGCGGCAAAGGTAAATACAACAAGACTGGCTTGACGTTGCCGGCATGTAAGGGAAGATGCGGTGATATCAGCAGATAGCCCGGCGCAGGACGTTGTTTGGACTTAATACAGGCTCATTTACACGCCGTATTTTGCACGCCGCATTAGAAAAGGTCGGTTTCGTTTTGCTAACTTTGCATTCCAGTGCAACCAACCCACATTGCATGGCTTTAAAAGTGCCCCAAGCATGCATCGTAACTATTTAGAATAACCGATGTTATTTTAGGTTGCGCCTCTCTCTCTCTCTCTCTCTCTCTCTCTCTCTCTCTCTCTCTCTCTCTCTCTCTCTCTCTCTCTCTTCTCTCTCTCTCTCTCTCTCTCTCTCTCTCTCTCTCTCTCTCTCTCTCTCTCTCTCTCTCTCCTCTCTCTCTCTCTCTCTCTCTCTCTCGTCTTCCATGTTGTATGAATTGACCTGTCTGGAGCTTCGAAAGCGACTTTAAACTCACTGTTTTCACTTTTCGTAGTTAAAACAGCTGCCTCAACTAAGAGTGCTTGGCTCCATACAGAATGCATGCTACCTTGCCTGCAATCTCTGCCTCAACCGTTTCAAAAGCCTGGCCCAGTGTGAGCTGCCTGCAAGCCAAGGCTTTCATTGGCGGGATCGCGATTCATTGGGGGATTTGGCCATCACTGGCGGTAATATCCCTCCAGTCAACATGTTAAAATAGGCCCTGTTACAACAATTGTTGAGAATTGCACAGTTACGTGCAAATCTCATTGAAGCTAAAACGTCGTGATGCGGTCAACCATCACAAAGCGTGAGCCTCTGCCCTTGGGAGCTAGCTGTCCAACAAAACTGAGTGTTCCGGAAGCCCGTGGGGGCCGCTGGGGGGTTTCAGGACGAGGGAGCACGGAATGAGAACACCGGGTGCAGCGGTGTCAGGCGAGACGCCATCAGCTGTAGCATGCGCGCCACTGCTGCCCGCGTGGTGCGCTGCAGCACAGCAGTATGCGTGGCGAGCAGTGGGCGGATCGGAGCTCGCGGTTATTCGTAACTGATAGTCACAAGGTCAAGCTTCATATGGCGGGCCCGAAGCAAAAAGCATGCGTCATCCGCAGACGTCCGTTTCGTGGCTTTAGGTCATTAAAGCTTTCAGCTAAGAGTATTCAGGGCGTGTCCTGTCATTCATTGCCTGATGATCTCAGCACTCGCCGGGTTTCTCGCATTGAGCGGAGTTGACGCAAAATTAGCCGTTCTTCAAGGCTGCCGCAGCTCAAAACGTCTCCTCCTCACTCCCGGCGGCTCCTTCACCTCCGCTAGCCGCGCCCAAACACAAACACAAATACAGTCGGCGAATGTATTCATCAAAAATATGTACAACAAACCCTCAAGTGTTGGACACTTCGGCGACTGTCGGCGGGTGGCGCTGACCCGAGCCAGGGTCAGGCGCGCGCGCGCGCGCGACTCCATTGCACAGTGTCGGGTGCGCGGCGCTGCCGCTCCCGCCCGCCGGTGGCGCACACTTCCACAGCGGGACGCGGTAAATGACTGTGACTCTGACCCGTTAACGCCCGGCACAACACGCACACCGTGCTCCAGCGGCCGACTGCGCCACTGACGGCGTCTCCCATCACACTGTGGACTTGGCCCGTCGGGACTGCACCGACCAGCGGCCGCGTGACGAGATGCAAGCGGCCCGCCCCACGGCCAGCGGCGCGCTCGTGAGCAAGAGCATAGTTCGGGTTGAGCCTCGCTTTGGTTGCACTTGGAAAGTTTTTGGCCTGTCGCTTATTAAAACAGCATCGCTGCCTCCGCTACGCATTGTTGACTGAGCCTATCGCATGCATTGGACTATCGCGTGTAACGGGAATTTTGCGTCAAATTCCCTCCAACGCGCTCGCGCCCTAACAAAATACATGCTCCAGGAAAGCTCGAGGTACTGTGATTACACATGAAAGACCCAAGTCTATCATATTCGGGATCACAAAATGCTCGGACAATCGGCTCCGCTGTCAGCTGCGCGGCCGAGACAACATTGCACAAGAATCGGCACTGGACACCACGCCATATGAAAACACACTGCCCGCGGCCATCACACGAAGACACGATATCGAAGGACACAACCAGGCACCGGCCCCGCGCCGCTCGGCCGGCCGGCGTTTGTACTGCTGGGCGGTAGTGCACCTCGGCGCCGCTAGAGGCGCCACCATCACCGCAGGCCGGCCGCGCGGCTGCGCGTGGCCCGAAGTGAGCCGAAGGGCGGCAGCGGCGACTGCGCCTCCACCAGGACGCGCGGCTCGACGCTTCCCATCTCGGCCAGCGACGGCTCCGGCTGCAGGAAGCGACGCCGCTTCTTCGGCGGCAGGCAGGGCGAACCGAGGTCGGCGGCCGGACGGCGCCGGCGCGGCCGCGGAGACGCCTGCTCTGGGATTGGCGACAGCGGCGCGGCGGCGCGCTCCAGCAGCCGCCGCGTCGCGCGCCGCGGCGGCGGCGCCGGCGGCGACGGCGATGGTGACGCCGGCGGACGCGTCGAATTCGACGTGACGGGGCGAGGCGGCCGCCGGCTCCGGTGCGGGCAGCACGCGCACGCGCGGGAAGAGCTGGATGTCCTGACGCGGAGCGGCAGCCGCGGCGGGTGGTGACGCCGGCTCTTCCCCGGGCTCGCTCTCGTCCAGCTCCTCACCGAACGAGCTGTCGGGGCTGAGCGGCGACGAGAGACACGAGTCGTCGGCGGCGGCGCTCTCGAACGCCAGCAGGCCGGGCACGTCGTCGAAGGCCGTACCACCGTCGCCGTCGGCCGGCGGGTCGTCATCGTCGACTTGCACGTTCTCGGGCAGCGCCTCGGAGCTGTCGTGGCCCCGTGAGCTCTCCAGACTGGAGACATACCAGCCGAACTGGCTGTTGCAGTAGTGGTAGTTCTGCCGGCGGACGGACGGGAGCGGTCAGCGTGGACCCGGGACCGGCGTCGTGGTCGGGAATGCACGCATAATTTATTTTCCATTGTGACTGGGATTGTGCACGATTGTGACTAGTCGGCATTGCATGAATAAACATTCCCATTCTCAAAGATTTATGACATCACAGAAAAATTTCAAGGAGATCAGATTTTGAAGAATGTTCATAAAGCTCCATTACCAAATTGTGGAAAAGGCCCGGCGAAAGTATGCCGTTTCCTCGCGAACGATGGAATGTAAACAGCATACAAGTGAAGAGCACAGCTGACCTTTAAACTGACTGACCAGCATGTCAGTCAATAAAACTGACCAGAGTGTCAGTGCGCATTACACTGGTCACCCTCGCCACACGGGAACTGTACCCACAGCGGAGCGTGAACAAAGGCCGCTAAAGATCAACAATGCCCCCATCCACCACAACTCACCCTATACTTGGACGGATTATCATAGCCGCTCGAGTTGGGCCGTTTGTCCTTCCTGTGCCGCTTGCTGGACGGCGAGCCGGTGAAGGCCGACGGAATGCGCTGAATCTCATCGTCCGGCGCCTGCTCCCGCAGAACTCGGCCGATGTCGAACGGCGGGTCGTCATGGCAACCGGAGCTGACGCTCTCCCAGTCCAGATCCTGACGAACACCGAGAAAAACGTCAGCGTGTCATCAGCTGGCAACAATCTGATAAAGCACGCCCCACATCCACACCGCATGCTGTCGCGGCGGGAGGTCGCACGACACGGCGCTGCTTCGCGAGACGTCTCTGCGGTGACGCCTCCGCTTCATTACTGCCTGGCAAACTGACCACGTGACCGCGGCCGGATGTCGGCAGCGACACTCAGCGCTCAGGTGTCGCAGCGCCTGTGCGACAGCGCCCGTGCGACAGCGCCTTCGTGCGCAGCTCACCCTGAAGAACACGTGGCCCGGGATGTCGTCGTTGGAGAGGCGGTCCTCAGGCCGGCGCTGCAGCAGCGCGCGGATGAAGCTCAGCCCGGCCAGCACCATTGGCTTCTCGTGCGAGAGCAGGACGCTGAACTTCTCCTCCATGAAGTGGTGAGGCAGCTCGATCGGGTCGTGCAGGATCGACCTGAGGAGAAGAGGGGCGGGGTCAGAGCCGGAGCGTGACGGAGCATGAGATGTTCGAGAAACTTGCCGTCAGCTGACGCGGTCTCAGAACAGTCGCCAGGTCTGAAGCGCCAGCGACGCTCAAAAGCGAGCGAACGTGGCGCCACGGCTCGCTCTCCAGGGCAAGTGCCCGAGCAGGACCTTCTCCCGGAAGAGCAGCGCCACTTCTCGAGCCGAGGCCGCGCGCGCCAGGGCGACGCGTTTCAGTGCCGTCACGTCACATTGGCACGCGCTGGCGGCTCGCTGGCTAACCACCGGCCAGCCGGCGACGCGCGTCGCAGCGAAAGTGACCCAGAAACGCGCCGCAGCCGGCATAATTGTGGGACGCGCCCCGGCCCGAACAGCACGCGTCCAATGGCGCCGTCCGCGTCCTCATGCGTGCATGTGTGAGGTTGAGGGGAGGGGAGGGCAGCCAAGTCCCGGGCCGTCGTCAGTCAGGGCGCGTTTTCGTGGCCGCGGTGTTGCGGCGCGTTGCGACCGCGCGACATACCGCAGCCAGGAATCCTTTCACTTTCTGGCCGACGGGTTTGGGAGAGTGGGCCTAACTGGGTCAGTGGGGCGCTGGGGCGCGGGTGGTCGGGCTCCTGGCCTTCCTCGTGTCAAGAGCGCACGACTGCGCCGCCGGCGGACAGCGCGCTGTGAAAGGCCGGCGCCGGCGGGCCGTGCGCGGCCGACCCCCGCCCCCTCCGTCGGCTGGGCGGACCGCGGTGGCGTCCGCTGACCCTAATCGGCGGCGAGCCTCAGTGAGAGCGTCGGCGTCGTCGACGTCGGCGGCGGAGGCGGCGGCCAGACGCGTCGGCACGGCACGCGACCCCCCCCCCCCCCTCCCCCCCCCCCCACCACGCCCGTCGGGCCACGGGCGGTGGCAACAGCAACTGGGAGCGTTAGTGGGAGGCGCTGTCCAAGGGGGCCTGCATGGCCTGCACTCGAGCGTTTCAAGCCGCCTTATGCTTTTCTACAACATTAAATTCAACGGAGAGTAGATTGTCGATTCAAGCAAAACAAAATAGGTTATTGCATGAAGGGAATACAAATAGAGAACGGGGAGGGACGAGGGCAAGAAAGAAATGGACGAGAGCTAGCCAGGAAACATCAAGGCAGTTTACTTACTCTTCGAGATCGGCCACTTCACGGCCCTTGAAGGGCAGCTGACCCACGATGAGCTCGTAAGCTATGACGCCCAAACCCCACAGGTCGGCCTCCTGCAAAACAAGGGAGTTGTCTGGTTAGCTTCTGTGCACGATTTCTGTTGGTGTTGTGTAAGCCGGGTGAGATAGCAATCGGCGTTGCGAAGCTTCCTCATTTCACAGCTTCTGGTCTAGCTGCATGTGTGAAAGTGAAGCCCGCGCGCGGAAAAGTAAAGCTAAATCAGCATCAGTTTACGGGCATTCTTGTCTTAAAAGTTCAACTTTATTTCTAATCAAGCAGGCTTTTCCCTTACAGATGTCGAAAAATACCATAGATCACACCAAATCATCAACTTGCATACAAAGGAACAAGAGGCTGTGCGAGCGCGAAAGGAAACCCACCTCCGCTGACAAGGAAAAAACGGCGGTGAAAGGATTCAGAGAAGCCCGATGCCAGCACACACAATGTTCAGATCGGCACAGCCAGCGTCCTGAATCAAGCCTCTGCAGCATTGCCGCCAGACAGGCATCCACAGAGCCGAGCCAAGTCGATTGTACCGAGACGGTAGACGAAGAGAGTGCCCTCTCCCCGCCCAACTGAAGAGAATCGCGCCGCCATGAAGCCTGGCGCCCCGGCCGAGACAGGTCCGCCTGCGTGCTTTCACTTTCTCGCCGGAGCGGTCCAATTTCCCGACGCGGTGGCCGACGCCACGGAGAGGCGGCCGGGCGGGGAGGGGCGGGGGCGGGGGCGACGCGTCGGAGCCGACGAGGGCAGGCGGCGGACAGGTCACGGGCCAGCCGGGTGACAGATCCTCCCCCCCCCCCCCTTCCCAGCCTCCGCAGACGTCTGGTGACGGGAGAGCCGACGACGAGGTATGAGCCTCACAACTTAAACCCACCCGAGCACGCGAAAATGTGCCCACAAGCACCGGCCCAGCCCCGGCGGCCGGGACGACAGCGGTGTCCTCGCGACGCAACACCTGACCGCAGGTGTCGAAGTCCCGAGGGCACCGCTAGGTCGGCCGGGCGACGCTGTCCCACTGACCCAGTTCGGCGGCGGCGGCCAGCGCTGACCGACCGCCTGCCGCAGCCAGAGAAAACTGTCGGCTAGACGAGCCGAGCCCAGCCAAGACGCAGGCCAGACGAGGGCAGACCAGGAAAGAAAGGGCCACCCGCAGCCCCGAGCAGACCACCTGACCATACCAGACCAGACGGGCCCAGCCAAACTCAGCCTAGACCACACCCGAGCGCCGTAATCCAGACACGAACGTCAGGAACCCGACCCGACCCGACCCGACCCGACCCGACCAGAGCAGGCGAGAACAGATCAGACCACGTCACACCGGAATGAATCAGACCACACCCAGACCACGGCAAGCCAGCTAACCCGGACCGCGAGGCAGCAGACCGGGCCCTGGACTTTGATCAGACCACCCGGCCAGTCCTCTCGGCCCCGTGGCCAAAGGTCGCGCTTCACGCCCCTAGCGAGCCCGCTGCGCTCCTGTCAGCGCGCCCCTGGCCGCGTCACTGTCGCAATCAGGAGGGGGCGTTGCGGACTTTGCCCCTCTCGCCTCGCAGCGGCCGAGAGACCAAGGGCGAGAACGGTAAACATGAGCTGGAGGCGTCTCAGTGAACGGCTGCAAGGCAGGAGACACTTGGTGCTGTCGGATGTCCAGCTCCGCCCTGGCGCCGTTGAGCACGCCCTTCCCCGCGCTGCCCCACCCTTCCTCACCCACCGGAGATGCAGGTCATGCGCCACGGGAGAATAACACTCCATGCCGGAGACAGAAAAGTGTTTCAGGACTCAGTCCAAACCAAGCATCGCAATGAGAAATGAAAAATTTCCGAGAAAGTGCCGCCAACACGCCACCGGCGGCAGCTCACGTGCAAGTGTACTGAGCTAACGACGTCGGGGTTTGGGTGATCCCAACACCGATACGAGCGTTCGGCGCACTCAACACTGGCGATCATTTCCTGATGTCCGCAAACTCGCCGCAATGGCAGGCGAACTGCGCTCCAACGTCACCGGTACTGATCCAACGCCGGCTGTCAGCGACGCAGCTGATATCTTGCAGATCCCGGCGAGGCCGCTCCAGGGAACCTAGGAGTGTATGGGGCGGCGCCGGGGATGACCGGGGCGGGCCGGGAAGGGCCGGGGGAAGACCACAGGTGGGCCGGGGTTGGCAAGGGAGGGCCGAGGCGGGCCGAAGAGGCCGGGGTGGGCTGGTGTGGGCCGAGGAGGGCCGGGGAAGCCCGGATAGGGACTGAAAGTCGGCCGCGGCTCTATCTCGGTACTCACAAAGCTGTAGGCGGTGGCGGGTCCGTGCGCGCCGCTGGACTTCAGCACCTCCGGAGCCATGTAGTCCGGAGTGCCCGTTTTGCCGCTGATCTGCGTCTGTGGAGAGAGAGGGGACGGCTTAGCTGGCGGGCATGAGTCAGCCGGGCGGGGGCCAGGGCGGGCAGACATCAGGGACGGCTCGTGGGGACGAACGGGGTAGTCCCGACCGCCAGCGACCATCGGCGCATTCCTAAACAGTCAGACTGTTGTGCAGACAGACTGTAAGCGGTGTAGACAGAGTAACATGACCGTTAACGTGGCCGCAGGGGTGTGTCGGGCCCATGATCGGGCTAGCCGGGCGCCCGACGCCGTGCGCGGCCGTACACGTAATACGACCTCGCACGGCGTCGCGGACAGCGCAGCGGCGAGGGAGCTGTACTGCGAGCGCCACCGCCCCGCCAGCACGGACCTTCCGGCCTTTCACAGCAGCTCAGAAAGACCGACTACGAGCTGACTGAGACGGCCTCGGAGACCGACTCGCAGACTGACTCCGAGGCCGACTGAGATCGACTCTGAGACCGACTCGGAGACTGAGCCGGAGACCGCATGACCGCCGGCCTCGCCCGCGCCGCACGTCCGGCTAATTGAGCGACATTGGCCCGGGTGTATTGAGCGGCAGCCCCGCTCGATCATGCCGAGGGGCCCCCGCGGGCGCCGAGCCCCCAGGGCAGCGGCAGAGCACCCGGTCGTCAAGCCGACTTCACCCACCGACTCGCCGACCTCGAAGTGCCGCGAGAGGCCGAAGTCGGCCAGGCGGACGTGGCCGTCGCCGAACACCAGGACGTTCTCCAGCTTCAGGTCGCGGTACAAGATGTTGTTCTGGAAAGGTCGACTCACGTCATCGCCGGACTTCACCGAGCGCAGCACGACTGGAAGTAGCAAATTGCATCGCGACCTGGCAGCTATGAGGAACTAGGTGATGCCATTCCAGGGCGAGGGGTGACGAGGATCACTGGAGATGGCAGGTCAGGAGACAGGTCTTCGATGACGGCGCGGTGAAGGCAAGCAAGCTTCAGAGGCTACACCGACCCCGCGGACTAGCCGCGCGGCACCAGGTAGTCATGGCGTCAGCACGCTCCCTGCCCGGTCGCCTGCGGTTCCGGAAAGGAGACTGTTGCTCGGCACAAACATTGCGACGGCTTGCGTCCACATTTCGTTACTTTTGACAGATGATTAGCGGCCAAACTAAGGGAGGGCCGACGGCAGAGGAGGGGCGTCTCGCGAATCATACAAAGTCCACGCAAATGGGGCTGTCTGTTTTCACGTCAGAGCGGACCCGTGAACCAAGGGTCAAAGGTGGGTGCGAGGGACCCATAACATTTCGGGAAAGCCCGGGTGGTCTTTGACGCCAAAGTGAGCTTGCGAACCTCGTTCTCACCCCTCCAATCACAGTTCACCTCTAAATAATTCCCTCCCCCCCCCCCCCCTCTTCCCGCCACCACGAACATCGAGTCGATAGGCGCATCGGGTTTTCAAAGCTCGAAAACCTGACTTTAGCTGCACCTTCATCCCACTGCGCGCGAGCCGCTGCAGCTGACATCTCGATCGTGCTCATGCTGATGTTGATGTTCACCTCGTGCAGGAAGCGGATGGCGACGCTCAGCTCCGCCAGCACGATCCTCATGCGGTCGACGTAGCGGGCGTAGTTGTAGACGAACATGCGGCGCAGGTAGCCGGGGCTGCGGCTGGGGCCCACCAGCGAGAACAGGTCCTTTCCGACCGCATAAGCTGCAGAGGGACGCAGCTGTCAGCCTGGCAGTCCCAGTGCAGCCTTCAGCCCACTTGGCAGCCCACCTGGCCGCCGGCCGGCTGAGCGGGGGCATTCGCCTGTGGCGTCAGGTGTCAGTTCAATTGCACAAGTGGCCGGCGACTCTCCGCCGGCATGCGGCGAGTCAGAGTCGAGCGGTCGGCTCCGGCGGCTCTTGCGGCGCCGGAGCCAGACGCCGGATCGGCCGGCGCGACGGCGACGCGTCCAAATCGCTGCGACAAGTCCCCGGTTGGCGCTATCTGCCCCGGTGATCGGCGCGCGCGTGTCCCTCCCCTCCCCCTCCCCCTCCCGTTAAAAGGCCGTCAGCGGTCGGAGAGTGGCGTCCGGGCTGCGCGCCGACGCGCCCGAGCGGCGCGTCGGCTTTGGCCGGGGGCGGGCCGGCCGGCCATCTGCCGGCCGCGCGCGCGTGCCCGCCTGCCGCCGCTCCACCCGGTCACCCAAATCGGCCGCTGCGGCCGGCGCCGCACGCACAGCTGGCGCCGGCCGCGCCGCGCCGCCGGCGGGCCTGAGCGGGGCGCGGGGAGCCTGGCGAGCCGGGCGAGTGGACGGCGGTCGGGGGCCGCTGCCGCCCCGTGTAAACACGGTCCGAACCGGGCGACACCGGCCCGCCGACCAGGCCGCAGCCGGTAAACACCTCTGTGAAACCCCGGCGCGCCGGGCGGCGCCAGCGGCCTTTGTGCGGCCGGCGGCGGGCGGCACCGCGACGGTCGCGGCCGTAGAAAGTACGCGCGAGGCTGTCACGCCGTGTCGTGTCGTAAGAGCGCCGCGCGCTCGACCGGCCAAAGGTTGCCAGCCAGAGTTGGCCGGGCCGGTCCCCCTCAGCCCGTGTCCAGCTGAGGCGGCGTCGGACCGGGTGCGCCGCCTCCGGCACAGGGCCAGCTGTGGGCCGCGCGCCGCCCACCGTCAGCTGGTCTACCACCGGCCAAAGCCAACACGATCGGCGCGCGCGGCGCCCCCCCCCCCCCCCCGCCCCTGCCGCGCGGACGGCCTGCCGTCGACGCACGTAGGCGGCGCACAGGGCGGCAGTAGCGGGCGACCCTGGCGGCGCGGCCCCGGGCCGCCAGTCAAGGTCGACCCTGCCGCCGCCGGCTGGCTCTGTACGGCGCGCGGCACGAGCCTCGTAGCGGCGTGCCCGCCGGCCAACAGCTGACCGGCACGCCCGCGGGCGGCACGCCGCCGCTCCGGCCGACCTGGCCGCGCGCCGCAGCCGGCTCCGCGGCCAAACGCTGGTCAGCGGCCCGGTCGCGAACGCCGGTGAGGACCCGCCGTTACCGACACGGATGTTTTTTCGCCGGAGATCCCAGGCCACCACCGCGCCGCTTCTGCGTCGCAGTGCGCGGCGCTTTTTGGGCACGTGGCCTCCCAGCCAGGCGAAAAACACGGCCATGTTCTTTGTCTGTCGGCCAGGATCCGCACACAAAGACGCTAATGCGCGGTGTCTGCGCGACGCTGGCGCCGCCGTTTGGTCCGTGATCACGATCCCGCACCCGCGGCGGTCGTGGCGCGTCACGGCGCGGCTCCCGCCGGCGTTGTCCCATTTCCGTGACCCATTTTGCCGCGGCGGCTCGGGCACGGCGTGTCGGCACCGGTCGATGTGCAGTCCGCCGCGCCCATAATCCCCTGCCCGCCTGGCTCTCCCGGTACGCGACGTTCGCAGAACGCATCGAGCGGCGGGAGAGGTGCGCCGCGGTAGTGGGAGTGGCGGCTGCGCGGAAGGCCTCGCGACACGGCCGCCGCGACACGGCCGCCGCCCTCGGCCGCCGCGACACGGCCGCCGCCCCGCGCCAATCGACGAACGGTCACCACGTGACCTGGCGCCGGACTGGCGCAGTCGCTCTGGTGCGCCAGCTTCGAACGCCCGGCGCGCGCCAGCGATGCTGCATATTTAGCTGATGCACTTAGCGGAGGAAGCACACCGCGCGCTTCATTCATGTCACTGGAGCGACGCACAGTGGTGAACAGTGCGGTAGGAGCGACATGTCACTGAAACGACGCACAGTCGCGAACAGTCCGGTAGGAGCGACATGTCACTGGAACGACGCACAGTCGTGAACAGTCCGGTAGGAGCGACATGTCACTGGAACGACGCACAGTCGTGAACAGTCCGGTAGGAGCGACATGTCACTGGAACGACGCACAGTCGTGAACAGTCCGGTAGGGACGGCATGCCGACAGCCCGAGGTCAGTACTCACACAGCGCGAGGAAGGCCTTGGGCAGGCTGGCGCTGAAGAAGGCGTAGGCTAGGTCGGTGGTGTACGGCACGTTCTGGAGGCGTGGCAGGATGTCGCGCTCCACCAGCGCGGCCCGGTTCAGGTTTGTCATCTTGAGGGCGTAGAGCGCGCCACGGTCGCGACCCCGCCGCTTCTCCACCAGCACCACGCTGCCGTATCCTGAGGAAGAGAGGCGCAGCAGTCAGGTGCAGTCGGCGCAGCAGTCGGGGGTGCAGTCGGACATGGACAGATTCACAGGTGGCCAGATACACGCGGTCAGAGTCGCAAGGGATGCGCTCTATCAGACGTGTGGGGCTACGGGTAGAAGCATGCGGGTGCGGGCAGGGTGTGGTGTTGGAGCACGGATAGACGGGTGCAGTCAGCGGCTTTGTCTGATACGGTCAACACGACGCTACCATGTCCCGGAAGAAACTCCATATCTATATGATTGCCCAACGTGAAATCTTGCCCATCATCTATCCGATATGGCGAGGTCTGGAAAGCTGAGCCATACACCACCCCCACTGGTTCCGCACGGTTTTTTGCTTTTTGCGGCCATGGCAGCGGATCATTCCACAGAGCCGGCAGTGTCTCCCCACCCGGAACCGGCCATGTCCGGGGCGCAACAGAGTCAGGCCAAGGTCTCTGCAGCCGCCGCTTGCACACAGGGGAACAGAAGCGGGCCACCAGCACGCCCCGCCCGCGCGCTCTAAAGCCCCCGGGCACGGGACTGGGTCAGGGTCGCGGCGCGGCAGGTTGCGGCAATGCTGGCGCAGCGCCGCTGATCCGTCGCGACGTAATCAGCGCGGCCCTGGCGCCGATCGCGGCGATGGTGGCGCGCGCAGGGCCGCCGGGTTTCGACACGGTCGCTGCCGGGGTCGGCCGGCCGAGCTGGCGCCGCCACGGAGCTGGCTACGGCGGACGGCGCGAGGGACGACCGGCGCCGGGTGGCGGCCGGCCAGCGGAGCCTGACGGCGCCGACACCACAGGTCCGGCTCGGCTGGTTCGGTGCGGGTTTCTCGGCCTAGCTGGTGTCGCTTATGTGTCGGGAGGTCAGGCGGAGTTCCGGGACTGACGGTCCGTGCTTCCAAGTCGCCAAAAGTGTCAAAGACCGCCATTACACTGAAGTTGTTTTACAAACGGTTCCCGACACTACCTCCTCAGTCGAGGTCTCTTCCGATCGATTGAGAAGCGCCGCCTCAACCCGCGTCATTGTTGCCGTAACCGTATTTGATTACCACAGTTGTTGGCGAGGCCAAGTAAAACTAGGTCAAGCTGGATGCCCTGGGTCCCGGTTTGGTTTCTTTGCCAACCACTATCTTTTCACTGTGCCAACAGAGTTTCGTTGGCTTACCACGGTTAACCAGATCATCGACATGACACGTGATTAGGCAATGCTCCACATAACGGCGTCGTTTAACCGATACATTCGATTTGGGACCTTGAAGACCTATCGCAGTTGTCTACCTGCCTGCAGAAGACAGGCAACTGATGCGGGCTATCTTTGACATCGCAGGCGTTTAAAGTGTCCTTGAAATCTTCAAACCCAGCGGCGTTCACCACTCGCCAAGCAGCTCTTGGAGACGAGTAGAGCATTGCTGCACAGTCAGCAGCTACGTTATCCAGTGTAAGCTAATCTCAGGCACAAGGTAAGTTGGAGGAGAAGGATTTCGTCAATCGTGTTGTAAGTTGATCACGGACCGTCCTCCCGCTGCTTAATCACTACAAACACTTCATGTAGCCCCTCTCGACTGGCACCTTCCAAGCAATACGCCCAGTGGACAATGTCCACTTCCATACCCCACGATCCGTCCAAACATCGGTCCTGATGACGTCATGGGTTCCCAACGGAATCCCTCCCGCTCACACACTGCCCTCCCGCTCACCCACCCACACACACGCTCACTCACTCCCCCACGACACCCACGTAAGGTAATACAACGCCGCGGCGCGTGCGTCCGGTCGGCCGCCGTCGCGCCAGCCGGCGGACGGCGGCGTGGCGTCAGCTGACGGCTATGACGGGCGGCAGCACGTCGCCCGACCGCACGTAACTGTACCGCCGCCCCGCACGGACCGTACCACCGAGAGGAAAGGCGCGCGCCGCCCGGAAAACGCCGCCCCGTCGGCTGCAGCCGGCCAATGGTGCGGCTTTGTGCTGGTCCGTGCGGCGTCGGCAGAGCGCACGTGAGCTGGGAGATCGCCAATTTCTACTCCGCTCTGGACGCTCTCAATCATTTCCCTCGTGAATCCGCCCGGCTCAGCGAAGCGTCACCCCAACGCCTTGGGGGGGGGGGGCGGTACGCACACCCCCGCACGCACGCATACAGCGGCGGCCGGCGATTGGCGACGCCATAAGAGGCTGCCGGCGCGAGGTCAGGGTACAGGGCGGCGCCCGCGACAGGCGGCCGCTCCGAAGCTGTGGAATGCGGGACCGGATGTGGTCCGAACAGGGCGTCATCACGCCCGGCCGCGGCGCCACGACGGTGACGTCAGCTCCACAGCTCGCGCCGTCGCTCGTCCTCCGGCGCCGAGCACCGGCCATGCGGAATCCGTCGTACGCGGCGTCGCCGACTGCGTCGGCAGGTGGGCGCCGGTGGTGCCATCTCTGGAGCGCGGCGGCAGGCGCCGCAAGCCGCTCGGAACTTGACCCAGTTGGTACGCGGCGGCCGGTTTCCGCGCCGCACGCGTGGTGAAACCGGCCGGTCGGGCCGGCCCGTTTCGTCAGGACTAACGGGCTGCAGGGGCGCCGGCGCGGCAGTGCAGAGACCAGCTGGACGTTGGCCTTTCCGCACCGCAACTGCGCCGCGCGGGCTAGGCCCGCCGGCCGCCGCGCACACCTCGCATCCCCGCGCTTCGCCCGACGCCGCGAAGGTCGACCACGCGCGCGCGAATCACGCATCGACCCGCGCGCGGCGGTCGGCCGGCGCCACGTCTCCGCTCGTCCGCGTCTTCCCATGAGTGGCTGAGCTCGGGAGCCGGCGCCAGCCTCCGCGCGCGGCCGCTGGGTCCGGCCCTGCCGCGGCCCTGAATCGTAGTGCTGCGCTGGGCTGACTCGACCGAACGACAGCCTCCGCTGGCTGGCAGGCCCAGTGCAGCCCGGCCATGTGATCGTGCATACGCGGCGCGGTCAGCTGCCAGGAGCGCCGCAGGCCTAACCCGCGTGACTGCAGCACCCAATGAGGAATCAGCGCCGGGCCACGCACGCGCCTGCGCAGTGGACATCTTCGGCGCGATGCTGGCAGTGGCGCCATGCTGTGCTTCTATCCTCTGTGCGCGCTGCGAAGTCTCCCGCCCGACAGCGGCAATGCCAAGCGTGCGCCTGCATATCAGACCAATGCAGCACCACCTGTACCTATCACAACGCGCAACGCGCGGCTCCCGCCCGACAGCGACGGTCTGGGCGCCCATCCGACGCACTCCGCCGGAGCCCGCCGCCGGCGACCTTGGCGCAGAGTCGGCCGGCCGCTGTGCGTGCGCCGCCAGCAGGTTGGCTGAACCCTCAGGGTCACGGGGGCAGCGGCGCGCACGCACACAAATAGCGCGCTGTCGTCGACCGGCCGCCGACGGCCCGGGCCGACCGGCGCCGGTGTTTGCGTGCGCGGTCGGCGCGCGTTGCACAACGGCAGGTCGGGTCGACCGGGTCGGCCGGCCGAGGGACACCTGCGGCGGAGCGGGGCCGCGCCCCTGCACGTGACCTCGGGACACCGGAGACGGGCGCCGATGCAGCGGTAAACACCGCGGCCGGGCAGGCGCCTGAGTGCTTATCACAGGCATGGCACTGATGTGTCTTTAGAGTGTTTTCCTGTCAGGAATGCCGCAAACAAAGGCGGTCGGTATCCCCGAGGACGTCAAGGTTATCGGATGTGACGTTGTTAAGGGTTAGGTGCCAGTGAACTGTGCGAGGGCCATCAAAATGGAGACTTCTCAAACTTTGTGCGATCTTATCTGGGACGCTTCGAGAGCCATTTGGGATTAGGACCCTCGGAATGTATTGCCAGCTATCACAAAGTCAGCCTAATACAAGAAGTGGAGACAAAAACAGCAGAACAATGATCGTGGCTTTTGTAATCTCATATGACTCGTGACCAGCCACTTGCGGTGAAAACACTGGCGCAAATACAGTTAACCTTAAAATGCACTAGGTTGGACCGCACACATCGTTGGTAAACTGCCGGCTCCCGACAGGGGAAGCCATGTCCCAGTCAATCAAAAAGAGCGTGTCGGAACATCAGCCACGGACAGACTTGGCGGGCGCGGACCGAGGCGGTCGAGAAGGGTTGAAGGCCGGGCACCAGTGAAAAACAAAAATACAGTGGCTGTCTCCTTTGAACACTGTGGAGTGGCCCAGCTCTGTGCGAACGGATCCGACCAGAAATCTCGCAACAGCGTGGCAGAAGATATCCGACGAGCAGCCCGCACGTGGCGTCCGTGAGCCCCTGTGACGTCACGGCTTGCATGCACCCGGAGCGGCCGCCGCGCTGACTCCTAGCACACGATGCTCCCGATATGAGCGAACCCTAATCCGCGGCATCACCCAACTCCATCTGAAATCTGCTTTCTTCTGAAAGATCATCGCCCTACAAAAAGCCGAGTGACGGGAGGCCGGGTACCTAAGAGGCCCTCTCAGGGGGCGGGGGTCAACGCCTCGTTCTGCCCGCCACCGGACACCACCGCTCGAGGACTCGCCCGCGGGCGCCGCCAGAACGCGGCGCCGGCGGCGGCGCCGGAAAGGCCACGTTGCCATTTCCGGCGCTCTGTGCCGATTACAGATACCGGGGCAGAGAGCCGCGCTGGCGGAGCCACCGGCAAGCAGACTTCACAGTGCCAGCCCCGGCCGCGTCAGGAGCCGGCGCCGGGAGTCCGGGGAGGGGGGAGGGTGGTAGGGAAGGGTGGCAGGTGTGGTGGCGCGTGCCGGCGTCCGCGCCCGCCTGCCCGGCTCGGTCGCCTCCGCCGCGCGGGGTCGTTGACTGGCGCGGCAGGCGGCCGACAAATTCGGTGCCGCGTGATGCGGCAACCGGCGTGGTGACGCGTCCGGAGACAGGAGAGCACGGCACACCCGGAGACAGGGGAGCACTGCACACCCCCGGAGACAGGGGAGCACTGCACACCCGGAGACAGGGGAGCACGACACACCGGGAGACAGGGGGCACAGTATACCCGGAGACAGGGCAGCAAGGCGCACCCAGAGACGGGGTGCTATCATCACAAAGTCAGCCTAATACAAGAAGTGCACTGTGCACAAGAAATGCACTGCACGGCCGAAGGCGAGGATCTCTGGACGATATGCCAGGAGGGATGCGAGACGGTGCATCCAGAGACAGGACTGACATACCCCAGAGCTGAAGATCCAGTTGCGCTACACTTACACACAGGGGATCCAGCCACTGTTCGGAGAAGGGAGTCATCATGACCCTTATGCAAAGAGGAGAAAAAGCACCAAGTGCAACGCAATGGCGGACGGTTGCAGGCGTTTTGCCGCAAACTGGGCTTACCTCCACTGCCGAGTTTCTTGATGAATTTAAAGCTTTCCAGCGAAATACATTCGCTGGACTGTGCAGACCGTTGGTGGCGCAGCTCTGCAACGAGAAGACACGTTGTTACAAAGCGTACCGGACATGTTGGATTATATGCCCTGCAATACAGAGAATATTTCATACAATACTGGCAAATATGGACGTTGTTGGATCACAGAGCGTGCAACATCGGTCGGACAGCATGGGAGCGGCATCGATCAGTCACTGCTACTATTCAATTTTATGAAAATAAGCAGGCCCTATGACTATACATAGGGTGTGGTTTGCTACCAATTTTCCTTGATGTGGTTTTTGCTCTGCTCAGTCTTAATGAAGCGTTGTTGGATGAGGGTATAGGAAAACTGCATGACTTTTCTCGCCACACAGTGCAAGACATTCAACGAATGTGACGTAGCTGTGACACAGCGCGAAGCCAATTGTCACAACTGACTTCTTGAGTTCAACACGCGGTGCTGTTGTGCGAATACGGGGATGGCTGCACGTTTTCTTTTTATGTAAAATGGTTTTACTTTAATAGGTGGCATGGCATGTGGCATCTGAAGATGGCATTTAAATCATGGCATGATGGAAAAGTAAGGGATCAAGTCTGTACGGTAAAAGATCACATGGTCTGAAAATGACATTGACAGGTCGCATGGCTAAAGATCGTACGGGATGAAGTTCCTATGGGAAGGCATCGCCAAGCCGCACGGTTCAAGACCGTACGGGATGGGAATCTAATGGAAACGTCATACAGCATAAGGATCGCAAAATGACGGCAGACACTGTATAAGAACACACCAATCTTCAAAGGCTCTTCATAGGCCAACAGCACTCAGCCTCCCACCCCGACACCACCATACGTCGCTCCAACCGTACCTCACATCTACGCCTCAGTCCCGTGCCCCCCCCCCCCCCCCCCAACTCCTGCCCGAACGGCGACTTGCCCCGATGACCCGGTGGCGCCGACGGCTTCGCTCACAAAGAGCGACCGTCGGCGCGGCGCGGCCTTGCCGTGCGGTCATTGACTGCGCCGCCGCCGCCACCGCCGTGCCGGTGAGTTGGTCAGTGGCAGCCGGCGGCCCGTTCCGCGCGCCGCCAGATGGCGCGTTCGTTCACCGGCGGCGCCATGAGGCCGCGACCGCGGGTCGTCCACCCCGCCGACCGGACGCGCTGTCGGCCGCCGCGGCGCGGAGACCGGCAGGATTTTGGACTTGGCAGCGCGATCTGCCGACACGTTAGCCGCCGTGTTGTGGGGGATCGCGCTCGGACGGGTCAGTGGCCGAGGTCACGCAGGCGGCGCAGGGGCCGCCGGCCCGGCAGCGGCTGCGGAGTTTGAGCTGCGTCGCAGACGGACGGGGTCCGGGTGGCGCCGCGCCGCCCAGCACCCGTTTTTGCGGCTGATCGCGATGAATCGGAGGGCAGCTGACAGGAAGGAACGCCCTCCATAACGGTGGGGAGACCGAGGAATGCGAGCACGGCTCTTCTACTGGACAGCTGGCCGCGGCCCGCGCGCTGGCTAATCCGCCAGAGCCATATACGCTATCTCTTCGACCTGGTCGTGAGGACGGCCTTTCGAGCGCTGTCGTCTTACAGACGTCATTCGGCGGGACTGGCCGTCCGCATGGCCGCTAGTCCGGTCCGCGGTTCAGCCGCGTCCTCCGCTCCACGGACCGACCGGCAGGCCAGCCGGACAGCCACCTCGCCCGGCCGTGCAGCCCAACCGTGCAGTAATGGACTCCCGATAACAAACAAAAAGGCCCCGAGTGGGCCAGGCATCGATAGCGTGAATCAACTACCCGATCAACCGTCAGAATGTCCGGCCAACTGCCTGATTCACCCACAAAACAAAGTCAACTTGATCGACAGATGATCGGCTCTGCTGAGCGGCCCATTACAACCGGCGGCCGGACCGACCGGACAGGCGCCCGGCCGAGCAGCGGGCGGGCATCGGTCGGTTGTTGACTCGCCGACACGCCGCGGTCATCTGCCCGGCCGCAGCATGGACGAGCTGCCTGCAAAGCCCCGCAAAGCCGGGCTGTGAACCGACGCCGCCCCGTAGGAAGTCCGCAAAACCACAGCCGCGTTACCGCCGGACGACGCTTAGCGTGGCTTGAGAAACCTGCGGAGGACTAACGGGACGCGACCGCCTCCGCGATTAGATAGCGTCCACGTTGTGGGGTTAGCATTAGCCGTGAGGAGCATTGGTGAGCGACATCAACAGCATCCGTAAGCCGTATCCGTGATGTAATGGCCATCGGTAAGCTTGACTTCATCCAAGGTCCTCTCGACTGCGAAACACGGCAGACTGCTGGGGCGGGCCGCCTGCCAGCAGAGCGGCTTAGCTGGCGGGGCAGGTCGCCGACGAGCCGACGTACCCGACAGCCGCGTTCACACCAGCCGCCCGGCCGATCGAGGCTCCACTAGCCGGAGAGCACTAATGACTGGCCGACCCTGTGCGACCGATTCCCTCCATGCATCACGTCGACGCTGCCCGCGGCCAAATACGGCGCTGCACCGGCTTGAAGGACGGCGCCTGTTGCGGCCGCGGCTCAGATCGCGTGACGTCACGCTCGCCGTCAGCCGACGTCACAGCTTCCCCGGGGTGGCCCGCCCCGGACTTCCTCCGCGGTAACGTCACGCCGAATGACGCGCGCGCCGCCGGACGTAGGAAGCGGCGGTCGCGGCGCGTTACGTCAGGCGGCCGCGCCCCGGCCGGACCCGCGGACGAAGAAACGCCGGTGCACGCCGCGCCGGCGCCGCCTCCTCGCATCCGACCGGCATCCGCGCCCCAGCCGCGGGCGCGTAGCAACCGCCGGCGTCGGCCGAGCTGTCGTAACGGTGCGACACGGGCCAGCGGCGCGGCGCCTGACGTCGGGCCGACGCCGGCGCCGACACCAGGTCACCGGCGGAGCGCGGCCGCCGCCGGCTCCGAGGGGCTTCACTGCAGCGCGCGGTCAGCCGGCGTTCCGTTTCGTCAGCAAAGCCGGCCGCGGATGAGTGGAGTGTAACGAGCAGATTCGGTCAGTTCTCGTCGCGCGCGGTGCGATAACCAAAGCGTCAGGTGGCTCGTAAGTCTGACGGTGCGGTGACAGGTGGCATGTATCAGTCCTGTTTTCAGATGATGGACGACCAAAAAAGGAGCGCGCGATGCAACAGCGGCTACCCGTTACGGCTGCCGCTGGTCTCGGTGCTGAACACGGAAACGGTGCACGCTTCCGCCTGGTACAGGCCCTCCTAAAAACGGACGCCGCTTTCCGCGCAATTCGTGCAGCCGCGTCCGTCCGCCGCCAGCCGTCAGGGTGAGCCGGTCACGCAGGGGTCGCCAGTCGGGGCCGGCGGCCCTGACCGGCCGCGCCGCCGACAAGAGGGGCCCTGCCCAGCTGACTACCGCGCCGCCGACAACAGGGGCCCTGCCCAGCTGACTACCGCGCCGCCGCCCGCCGCCGCTCGCGGTATCAGCTGTCCGTGCCGCGCCTCCAGCACGTGGGCGGCCGGGAACATCCGGTGTCCCGCACGTCTCAGCTGGGACGACAGGTCGTTTCCGAGCCGTACCGTACGCCCCCCGTTCGCCACGCCGGGACCTGGTGCGGGGTTTCCCCAACAGATGGCGCTGGACTCGCGGCCGGCGGAAACCCGCTGGACGGCGCCGAGTCCGACGTGGTGTGCCAGGAAGGGCTGACTCAGACCGAACCCCGCCAAACAGACGGTTCCCAGCAACCCACCACCGACACCACTCCGGGAAGCGTCGTTAGGCGACTGCGTCTCGGCCGAACAAGGACGGTTCTCCCGAGCGAGCATCTCGCCCGAGTTTTCCTGCTCCGATAACAGCCGAATCCGATGACAGCTGTTGGTGGCGAAATCATGCGCCCTTCACAACACGCCTGCTGGGTAGTGCTCGCATACAAAACGCGGTTGGGTGTCTCCGCAATGAAGGGAGTGTCACGCAGTCCCGTCAGATTCCACTCGTCCGTTCGATCTCGCTCGTCCATGCTCGTTCCCTCCTCCGATTGCACAGCTCGCGGATCCCATGTGAACAGCTGCGCAGACCCGCGCTCGTGCAAAAAGCCGAGTAAAGCCAAACGCGTACCCGAGCCATTTGACGGATAATGACAAAATGGCCGCTGGCGAATGCTGAATTACCATCCGGGACTTTGGTCGTCGCGCTGGAGGGCTGATTGGCACGCTCCGTTTGCACTGTCACCTTTAGAGGGGCACCAGGGGCACCTGCCGTCAGTGCGCGACAGCTATTCGCAACCTCGGCGCCCAACAGGATCCGCAAGCACAAAAACCGTCATCAGCGTGAACGGCAATGAACAAAGAGCAGAACGGCGTGGCGTTGTGGATCTAGCGAGTGAAAGTACTTGTTAACGCCGTGTTTATGCCAGCAGCGGCTTCATGAAGCGTTAAGATAGTTCGAAACGCCGTCTCCGAACTCCTGTGCCGCCGCGCTCTTGAGTCAACAGAACGATGCTGGGCTTTAAATCTACCGGAAGCGTTCGTCATTGCCGAGCAGTGCCGACTTCCTGACGCCACCCCTGACCCTGAACCGTCGCCGACGACAGCGCCGCCTGGCCGTCCCGGGCCCGCCGGCCTCCTCCGCCGCCTCCTCCGGCGCCGCGCCGCGAGCCGCCGTCGAAAGCGGCTGCGGCGCGTGAATGAACGAACGAAAGGAACAGGTCGCCGGTAGCGGCGGCGTCGGCCCACTTTCGGTGGGAGCGTCCGGGCCCGTTAGCGCCCCGCTTCGGAGCGGCGGCGCGTGCAGCTGCCGCCAGCTGGCAGCTGCGCCGCTGCAGAGTCGGCCCGCAGCTGGCGGAGCGGGCCAGTTTCCGCGCGGTACGCGCCGCCGCCAACCGAACCTCTTGCACCGGGCCGCAGATCAAACGCGAGCTGCGATCGCATGCCGCCTGAGCCGCCACCGGCCGCCAACGGGCCGCTCACGGAACTCACCTGTCTGCGCCGCGAGCAGACACTGGTTTCCAGGCTCGAGTGAAGAGCCGGCGCGTGGGCTGTTGGGGCTCGACTCGAACCCGCTCTCCTTGTCCGTCCTGCTTGTCGCGCTCGGTCGCCGGCTTGCCTCGCGCCGTCAGCCGGCGACTGGAGACGGCGAACGATGACAGGTCGCGGCTGCATGCGTACATCGGCCGCCGTGACTGCGACATGCTCGCCGCTGCCCGTCCGCCTCGCGGGTCGCCGCTCAGTCCAGTCACAGTCACCGAGTCACTCGCGGCCGCAGGCTGGGGCGCCGTTCGCGTCACGACTGGGCCGGGCCGTCAGCACCACGTACAGTCCCGCACCTCAACCCCTCCGCTCGCCGCAGACCCACTGCCATCAGCTGTTCGCTGCGACCGGCGCCGGGACCACCTGATCGACGGGGCTCGGGAGCGGCGCCCGGACGGCGGACGCTCGCGGGCGGACGCGAGAAAGCCGGCGCCCGGGAGGCCGCACCGGCACGACGGGGAGCCGTGGAGTGCGAGGGGGGTCGACGCCAGGTTTAGCAGATAAGGGTGTCAAAACAGGTTTTTTAGTTGCGTTAATCCTTTTGCTGCTTATCTATGCTCATCTAAGCGCCCACACCAGGCACGCCACGTGGTATGTTGACGGGGGTGCACCAGCATGACGGGGATGTTTGCAGGCAATGGGAATTTTCTCCGCATGATTCCAATATTTGCGCCGCCCTGCCCATGTGGCGCGGTGTATTCTCAAAAACGGATGGTGAGGCGGTGTGCAGGCAGAAGTCTGCCCATATGGAAGGAGCTTCAGGGCCGTGGCTCTGATAGATCGTTCCAGGAGACATCCCTACGTACTTGGTGCGCTTGACGATGATCATTCGTATGGCGTTCGTACGCTTATACCTTTATGGCTGATGCGGTTCATCATATAGACAGTGTCGTCATGTTACACGTTTTCACACACGTAACTGCGGTCGGTGGATATTTTGGCATGAAACCACATGACAGTGTAAAGACGTAAGAACAAAGGAGACCAGGGGGCACGGACCCAATGTTGGGGAAGAATAACATCAATTTTACGGTGATGCGTGGAACGAATGGGCTTGGAATCAAGCGCTGCTCCCCAATCTCGTTCAACCTTTCTGAGACGTTTCTATGCCTACGGGACAACATCGTTGCAGTTATGCTCTTCCGGAGTGATACAATTAAGGACTCATCGTTGCACGACTCAAGCAGCATCATTGCAGTCTTGCCAGCATAGCCACAGGAGTGCATCATTCCACTCTTACCAGCATAGCCACAGGAGTACATCATTCCACTCTTACCAGCATAGCCACAGGAGTGCATTATTCCGCTCCTACCAGCATAGCCAGAGAGTGCATCATTCCGCTCCTACCAGCATAGCCACAGCAATGCATCATTCCACTCTTACCAGCATAGCCACAGGAGTGCATCATTCCACTCTTACCAGCATAGCAGCGGGAGCGTCTCCATGACGGGGTCATAAACAGGGCACCGATTCACGAGGTCGTCATGAGAACAACACAGTTGGACTCTTATCACGAGACCGGCATGCCAGGCGCCAGCATGGAGGTGCCGGCGTTACGCTGCACCAAGCTACAGGTACCTGCGGGAGCATCAGCACGGACGTCATCTACAGGTACCTGCGGGAGCATCAGCACGGACGTCATCTACAGGTACCTGCGGGAGCATCAGCACGGACGTCATCTCTCAGCTTCCGAAACAGTCACCGTCGTGCAAAAAAAATGTGGCCGAAGTCGTGCAGTCTGTGACGGGATTTTTCTCAATACCGTGGCTTCATGCAAGCATTGCTGCATGTTTGTCCACATTGCCAGCTAATGAGCTTAGAAATAAACCCTTGGAAAAACCTAATGTCAGGGCCGGCTTCACTGAAAGGACTGTTCTGTTTTGATGACTCCAAGGCGACGATAATGACTGTCGAAAACTGATAACGCTGACGGCTCCACCCTCACGTCTCGCCCCCCCCCCCCCCTCCCGGCTCCCCTGTTTCAGGATGTCTTCCCCTCGGTGCCCCTCGCCGGGGGGCTGGGGAGGAGGGGACGGACCCTCCGAGACGCCGGCACGACCCAAACGATGGCCATCCGCCTCCAGAAGGTTCTGGCGAGTGAGCGCTGCGGTTCACTGCAAACCAGTCGAACATTGATAGGTCATTTATCATCTTATCGTAACGTTTTTTTCTCGTTTCATCCCACAGTGTAAGCTTTCCAAATATTTCTCTCGGCACGGTATTCAAACGTGTTAATGCGTATGCCAGGTCGTGCTGAAATAACTTGAGGAATGCTGCACGACAGCATAACAGCCTGCAAGGAGTGTGATTTCCTATAATATGTGTGTGCCTTCTGTTGACCCAGAACCCAACGACACATACGGTGCCAGTTCGATTCATCACCGGACTGCAACCGGAGCTAAGATATCTGCAATAAGATTGGTTTCCAGCTAGCTGGCTGGCCACTGGTCGATCAGCTAGCGCTGGCTAGTCGCTTGTCCACCCGGTCAGCCGGCTCTGGGAAGGTTCGGGAACTGTTGTAAAATGTACCGAGATTCCATCCGCGGATTTGAGATGCATGAATTCACTCCGTTAGTCGTTTGAATACGATAACAGATATCTAAGGGCGCTAAATTGATTACATAATGTATTGAGCTTAAATGACAGGCAAATTACGGTGTGTGGTTAGAAGAAGTTAATTATTATGTGTGATCAAAACACGTCAGCGAGCATTTTATTCCTATCGGAACATTACTAGAGGTAACAGGGGGACATCTCAAACGTTTTGAAAACGCTGGCCACCGGATACATATATATATATATATATATATATATATATATATATATATATAGTTTGTCCTAGAACTGCCGACTTTGGGTATAAGGCAGCACTCTATCTACCTGCTGCTGTCTAACCACATACACTAAACCCATATTTCCCTTTCAGAGGTTTTAGAATGCCTTCCAAAACCCAGCTCACTTGAAACCATCAAGCATAAACAAGAACCTGGACACCTATGGCTTTATCCTGCCTCACCTACATCTGAGTCATGTCGATATATGCAATGAGCAAGGACACCAGGTATCTCCCGAGCCCGAGAGCCCCAGCGATTCCAGCCGCTTGCATGCATCAAATTTGTTTTGTTTAAAAAACACAAGTTACAGGTGTGTGCCAAATGCAAGGTTTTCACGTATCCCCAATTTTTTGGGTCGCACCACGCAAGCATCACACCAGCAAAGCAAAGCCTGGTGCAATTACTGACAAATCCTGGAACAGAATTGTACTCAACGTATTTATTTTACCCGAAGACAAATTAACCCCTAAATTTCACCACTCCCAAAATGCGGGAGTGAAAAATTCTTCAAATGTTTTCTGAATAAAATCTAGAGGCTCAACATCCCCATTACCACCCATTTTTACAAATTTTAAGTCAAATGAGGTGATACCAAAATTTTACTTGGAAACTATAAGTATTTATATGTATTTAATTACTTCTTTTGTTGTGCTTGTAATGACATATATTTGTTGTTTTATAATATAATAGTTCGTTGTGTTGTGTTTGAAGAAGAGAGGTTGTTTTGTGGAGCAAATCCACTACCGTACCGTTGACAGGGTCTAGCCGTGACAATCAGAACAAGTTGTTCAAAGTAAATTGAGAGGTTTTGACCTGTCTGTTGTCAATTATGTCTGGTGCTAGCAAGCTGGCACAAATGAACTGAACTAAAACACGAGTTGAAACCAGCCAGAAAAAAGCTTTGTCATGTTTTTATCATAACTGCTGGTGTCAAGAAATAGGTGAGCTGAGTTGAGATAATGTTTACCATCTGGGCTACCTTCAGTTAGGTCACGTTGGTTAATTACATGGCAAGTGGCGGTAGGAATTTTGCAAGAATCAGTGTCTCACAAATGCTGCTGCGATACAAATAGGTTAGACAGTGTGGTATGCGGTAAAGCTTCTTTTGGTTAGGCTTAGTAAGGTTACTTAAGTAGAAACAATCATTGGTATTTTGAACCAGACACCACGTCACGCGTCACGTCACCCCGAAACGGTCCAAGACACCACTTCACGCGTCACGTCACCCCGAAGCGGTCAAGACACCGCGTCACGTGTCACGTCACCGCGAAGCGGTCTAAGACACCACGTCACGCGTCACGTCACCCCGAAGCGGTCCAAGACACCACTTCACGCGTCACGTCACCCCGAAGCGGTCCAAGACACCACGTCACGCGTCACGTCACCCCGAAGCGGTCCAAGACACCACGTCACGCGTCACGTCACCCCGAAGCGGTCCAAGACACCACGTCACGCGTCACGTCGCGGCGAAGCGGTGCGACAGACACCTGCACCGCGACTTGAAGAGCACTGTATGAGAACAAGATGCAGCGATGAACAATGCCAGCGTACTTAACCCGCACTGGAAATGGCATGCTCGCCGACTGTGGTTTTGTACTGAGGTAGATGGAGGTGCGTACCTGATAAGATAATATTGCGGCATACTGGAAAGTCCCCACTGAATGCGCTCGAATGGAGACCATCTCTCCAACCGGGGTGCACGGACTGGTAATATCTCCCAGCGCGGCCATTTTGGCCGGACCTCTTACCGCCGGAAGTCTGTACGGAGCTCACCGTCATGCCCGCCAGAAGGGTTCTCTCGCGTTGGATATGTGCTTTGACCCGACCTGACAGCCGCACATTATGCCGACGAGAAGCTGGCAGTTGGAGAAGCCTAATGTTCTCCACATGGGACGTGCAGAAAACGCGCCCCGAATGAGCTTCAGTTATGGCTGATCCAGGTATGCCGCGGGCCAGTCATAGTTAAACATGCAGTGTACGCAGGTGACTGGAGAATGACCAGTTGAAGCGCCGTAATTGCCGGCGTACTGGCAGCCATCGATGACAAAATGACGCACACCATAAAATGGGCAGGAGAGCGCGCGGGCGTAATGCGGCATGCAGTGAGCTGTGGTCCTCACTAATGTGTGGTACTCCACACTGGTCTTCTATACGTACATAGATGCCTAGTTTTATGGTGACTTGTGTTCGAAAAGTAAACATTCCCCCGTTGCGCGGCAATTTGAGCCCTTTCGGGGCTCTATGACGTTGTCGTTGGCATTGTTTGACCACGTGTTATTTGTATGTAAGTTGTTCAGTGCATTAGCGAGGAACATTAGTCACACAGATAAGAACAGTAGTGCTAGCCTAACTCCTCGAAAAAAAACAGGGGAATGGAAATATGGTTAGATTGATATTTCAGCAAAACACGCCTTTCTCGAAACAACAGCAAAAGTAAATTCAAATTTGCCTGCGCATGATCCCACTCGATTGTTCCGTTTTTTGGGGGGTGAGAGCAAGCCACAGTTTTTTACAGGACACCGACATTCAGGGGATTAAAACAAAGGGCGATTGCCAGCCACTACCAAAATACAGTACCCTATCTAAAAATTACAATGCCCGGACATACGTGTACATGCAAACGAATTCAAGCAAATAGGCATCACGCATCACGCTTCATTCGAACATGTAAGCGAGTTGAAGTAAACAAGCATCACACATCGCGCATAAATTATGCATGCAAACTATTTCAATTGGACAGGCATCATGCATCACGGTTATTAATCGCTGGTTGTTTAATCCCCTGAATGTTGGTATCTCGTAAAAACTGTGGCTTGCTCTTACAAAAAACCTGAACAATCGAGTAGGATCGTCGGCAGGCAATTTTAAAGTCACTTTTGCTATTGTTTCGAGAAAGGCATGTTGCCGAAGTATCAACCTAACTATATCTTCATTCTCCTGTTTTTTTTCCGAGCCATAAGGCGAATACTACTGTCTTAACTATATTATTGTTTTG